ACAGCCAGCAGCCAATCATTTTCCCGAGTAGGTTCATCAGGAGAAGCTCAGCTTAACATCTGCCCCATGAACTTGCAACCAGACTGAATTTACCCATTTACAATGATGTGAGCCATTTCTTAATATGAATTCTCTTCTCTCTCTTTCTCCCTCTGTCTTGTATGCACATAAATTTATCATTAGTTTTGCTTCTCTAGAGAACCCTGCTTAACTTATCTGCTTAGAGCCACTCCATGATGAAGCAGATCTGGCCCATAGGCTTTTCTTGACTGTATTCCTTACTTGAGGCAATCACTAGGTTTTTCTTCCACAGGTAAGCTGGGTGGGTTTAAAGTGTCAGGCTTTTAGTTCATAGCCCAACATGGAACTGATGTTACCACCAGGGCTCCTTCAGCACATAGGAGTACGTAACTCAAAATTATATCATGTGATAGCACGTGAAGAAATGAAACAAGTCCTGCTTTTAATTCAGTATTTCTGACCTTTTAAAAAAGGATGAAAAATTATTAAAAAATCATTTTATTGGGGGCTCATACATCTCTCATCACAAGCCATCCATCCATCCATTGTGTCTTATTACAATCCATCCATCCATCCATTATGTCAAGCACATTTGTACATATGTTGCCATCATCATTTTCAAAACATATTCTTTCTACTTGAACCCTTGGTATCAGCTCATTTTCCTTCCTCCTCCCCCCTCCTTCTCTCATGAACCCTTGATAATTTATAAAAATTTGTTTTCATATTTTGCACTGATCGCTATTTCCCTTTGTCTGCCCTTCGGGGAGAGGGTTATATGTTGATCCTTGTGATCATGTCCTCCCTTCTCCCCCCACTTTCCCCTTCCCTTCCTGGTATTGATACTCTCATTATTGGTCCAGAGGGGTTTATTTGTCCTGGATTCCCTGTTTCCAGCTCTTAGCTGTACCCATGTACATGCTCTGTAGCCAGAACTGTAAGGTAAAATTGGGGTCATGATAGTTGAAGGGAAGAGGGGAGTAAGCATTAAAAAACTAGAGGAAAGTTGTATGTTTCATCGGTGCTATACTGCACCCTGACTGGCTCATCTCTTCCTTGTGATGCATCTGTAAGAGGATTTCCTATGGTCTACAGATGGGCTTTGGGTCTCCACTATGCCCTACCTCTCATTCACATTGATATGATTTTTTTTGTTCTGAGTCTTTGATGCCAAATATCTGATCCCATCAATACCTCATGATCACACAGGCTGGTGTGCTTCTTCCATGTAGGCTTTGTTGCTTCTCAGCTAGATGGCTGCTTGTTTATCTTCAAGCCTTTAAGACCCCAGACACTATATCTTTTGATAGCCAGGCACCAGCACCTTTTTTCACCACATTTGCTTATGCACCATTTTGTCTTCAGTGATCCTGTGGAGATCCTTGGAAAGAATGTCAGGTTATTAGAACAAAGTGTCCTTGCATTGAGGGAGTACTTGAGTCAAGGCCCAATGTCCATCTGCTACTTTAATACTTAACATATAAATATATGTACATAGATCTATTTCCCTATCATTACATATAAATATATTTACATATATATGCCTGTATTTAGACCTTTATAAATGCTCTTTGCCTCCTAGTTTTTTCCTCTATCTCCTTTTACTTAGGATAAATTTTTTTCTTCAATTGAAACCTTAGTTGCGAATTCAAATTCTACAACAAAGGTAAATAGATGGACTGGCTCTTATCAAAGCTGAGCATGTGTGTATGAGGGAAGGGCAGGGTTCCACAATCCTGTTCTCTACAATTGATTGGGTCATGTAGAAGTTCTTCAAGGAACTGTGTGCATCCCTGAGGTTTCATGGAGTGTATTTTTAAAGATGTGTTCTAACTCTGCACCTGATTCTTACATGTGTTTCAGTGTCAACTATTCAGTTTCACAGAATAATTTTACAAGGTAGATGGACAATGATAACAGAGGAAAATATAACTCTTTCAGAGATGAAGAATCAGGAGATATTGAATGGTGTTTATGGTTTTTCACTGGTCAATGATGAAAAATACAGAGAAGACTAATAAATGGTCATCAGAATAAGCAGAACTACAGGGACTGTGTTCTCAGATATATTTACAAAATAGTAGTTTAAGTCTAGTCATGGAGTGAGGCTGCCTGGGCTGTTTCTGGCTTCATCACTCACTAGCTGAGTGAACTTGGGTAAGTTGCTGAACCTATTTATACTTCAGTTTTCCTATAGAAAATAGCTATTGTGTTTAATCAATGCTAATGCTTAATAAGTATGTATCTGAAACTTTTTTTGTTTGTTTGTTTGTATCTGAAACTTTGACAGAGGTGAATTGTTTATTTTTTGGCTTGGAAGCACTTAGTAGAGGACTGGGAAGCACATATTTAAACTTATTAAAATTTTTTATTTGAGTTCATTTAAAAATGGCTTTATAGAAGTATAACTAGATCACAGACATACTATCTAGAATATATTCTTACTATGTAAGGGCAAGGCATTGTAGTTTATAACTGATTATATGGGTAAGGTCACTCAACAGGAAGATTGCCCCCAAGTTTTTCTCTCATAGATCCAAAGCCCCAAAGTAAGAGAATGGTTGACATAGCAGTAGTGTGTGCGTGTGGCTCAGCAACAATGATCAGGATGTATTGTGCTTTAAAACAACTTAAGAGTGCCCAGTTCACTGCCATATCTTCTCTGAAATGAAATTGAACATTTAGACAATTCAGTTTGGAAAATGTTATGACCAAAGATTCTCCTCACAAGAGCTGAAGGAATGGGAGAAGACAAAAATACAATAATTATACCGCATAAATAAGAGTACTTGTTAGTTGGATGTCTTAGTACAAACAGCATTTTCAATATTTATTATAGCATATGCACTTTCCTATCTAGTCTCATAGTTTTTTTCTTTAGTTTTAATAGGCATATAAAATGATGTTATAATTTATTTAATATGTCCTTGTCTAGCTATTTTTTCATAATTACAAACAGTGCGGTAAAGAACTTCTTTTTCTTCATATTTTGGATTACTTCCTAAGTACAGATATCCAAAAGTGGAAATACTGGATTAAAAATAACTACATTTTTTTATAGTTCTTAATACATATTGCCACATTGCCTTCCTAAAGAGTTGCACTAATTATAAGGGTAGCAGCTATATGTGTGAATGCAACTATTATTGCATCCTCTTCAACATTGGGTATTACTTAATTTTCTATGTTAACAACTTTTCCAGTAGAGTGCTATATTAATTTATTTAAAATTTGTATTTTACTACTAATGATAAAATGATTTTTAGGATTTTAAGGTTTTATTTACTGTGGGTTGCCTCTTTCTTTTTCCCATTGTCATGTTAACATCTGTGATAGTCAGATATTATTCCGAACAGATACCCCTGACTAGGGCCAGAATTCAACCTGTCAATCAAGTGGTAAGTTGATGACACCTCTTTGAGGCTGCGACCTTATAAAAATGTAGTTATTTTAAATCCAGTATTTCCACTTTTGGATATCTGTACTTAGGAAGTAATCCAAAATATGAAGAAAAAAAAGTTCTTTACTGCACTGTTTGTAATTATGTGACCTTATAAGAGTGAGAAAAGCCTGCCTGCCTGCCTGCCTGCTTACCTGCCTGTGTGCCTGCTAGAACTCTTCTTACCTTGAAAGGTGGCTTCACAGGGGGGCTCAACCCTGAATGCTGCCAGCCCCCTGCTATGTTCCCACTGATTTGGAGCTATATGACTCTGAACTCACTGGCCCGTGATCTTCCTGGTGCTTGGTTCATCCTTCTTTGTGGGAAAAGGGTCTTACGGACTAGCATCAGACTGATGGACTTGAGTTGGGCTGGACTGCGATGCATTCTTGCTATAAAAGTACTTCTTGATATAAAGCTCTTTCTTATACATATATGAGTGTCACAGATTTTGTTTCTCTATACAATCCTGCCTAACACAACATCTTTCTGAATCATTAAAGTTCTTTTTCATATCTGCTCACTTTTTTAGTTGTTGAGAATAAATATGAGATTTTCTTTCTTTCTTTGTGTTTTTGTCATTTTGATTACCTTTACTTTCCCGGCCCCGCCAACCATTTTATTGGCATGTATTTTACATACCAAACAATTCAATAATTCAATCACCAAATCTTATCAAGGAGAATTGCATAGTCATTACCTCATCAATTTTAGAGCATTCCCCATCCCCCGCCAGTGGTTACATCACCTTTAAAATGAGTTATGCAATCACAGTCCATTCTAGTGCTCTCTTCCCCCTCCCATCTTCTTTATTTACTCCCAAAATCCCCTTTCCCACCCTGGCACCCATCCCCCACCCCTATATTCCCTATATCCCCTTGTATCCGTTATTATCATTATGCATCCACTTGCCAATGAGGCCTCTGTGTGGGCATGGCCTTCTCCTGAGAATTCTGAGAAATAGGGTATTTCCTCCTTGGAGGTGGGAAACACCTCTCTTTCTCTCTCTCTCTGCCATTGGAATCTTTGTACTCACAAGGCTGATGCCCTGTGAGACATCTCTGAGGAGAAGCCACATGGACCTATCCTGATGCAGCCCTGGGTGCTGGAGGAGCCACGTGGAGACCTCTGGTAGTGCTGAGATGCTTACAATGCCACTGGTTCCAAAGACTTTCTACCTGTTGGCCTGTGATCCTCCTGCAGTCGTCATCATTTCATGTGTTTCGTGAATCTAAAGAGGATTTTATAGATTGATATCAGACATATGGGCTAATATTGGACTTATGGGATTGGACTGGACTGGGTTGGGATGCTTTCTTAATGGACAAATACCCTTTCTGTAAAACTCTCTCTTATACACATCTGCGTTTCTATGGATTTGTTTTTCTAGTCTACCCAGACGAACACAGTAGTGTATCAAGGAGTCCTGGTGGTGCAGTAGTGAATCACTTGGCTGCTAATGAAATGGTCAATGGTTTGAATCCACCAGCAGTTCTATGAGAGGAAGAACCTGGTTATTTGTTCCCATAAAGATTATGGGCTGCTCGCTTCGGCAGCACACATATGAACATTGGAATGAAACAGAGAAGGTTAGCATGGCCCCTGCGAAAGGATGACATGAAAATTAATGAAGAGTTCCATATTTTAGGGGGAAAAAAAGATTATGGGAAACCCTTTGTTGTAGTTCTATTCTGTTGCATATTTACCCTGACAATACTTATCAACTACAGCAACAGTAGGAATTTAGAGGAACAACAGAATGAGATCTTGTTTGGTTAGAAGTTTATTTTGGGGGAAATAAAAGTTTTAAGGAAGAACTGTTCAACTGAAGTATGCAACTTTATTAAGGGCTGAAAGATGGGTAAAGTATTTGCTTTAAGCCCAGTTTATTTACAGAATGATAGACTGTTCAAACTATTTATTGAAGATCTCTCTTACAGTAAGACCCCAAAACCAGGAGTATTATCAGTCTTCCCTGATTTATTATCTGAAATACAATGATCCTAAACTAATAGAGGAAAAAATAAAACATCATTCATCTATGCTTTCATTCATTTAATAAACATTTATAAGATATCCAAACTAGAGGAACTAAAATTAACAGAAGTATTGATGTTTAAGAGCTGAAGAGAACATTTCAAAAGGGTAGCTCAAGAGACAACACACTCTGATGAGTCAATTCAGGTTCATCGCAACCCTATAGGATAGCGCCATGCAGTTTCTAAGGCTGTAAATCTTTATAGAGCAGAGTGCCTCATCTTTGTCTTGCAGAGCAGCTGATCGATTTGACTACCAACCTTATCATTAGCAGCCCAATACTGAACCCATTAGACCACTAGGATTCCTCCAAGAATACAAAGTCAAGTATCAAGATGAACTCATGAAGTTTGTTATCCTAGGCATTAGTCCGCTGAAACGGACTGGTATCAGCCATTTTGAATCAGACAACAATAGGATTTACTATGCTGGGTGTGCATTGTCACACACACTATTCTCTATCTTTTAAATATAGATTCTACAATCCATTGCAATGACTGCATAGAACTTACAGACAACATTCATGAATAAAAGATTTATTAAAGAAGTCACCAGGTTATAATGCCATTGAGAAATGCCTAGGATATAGTTCATCAGGACACATTACAAAATTATTTCCGGGTTTCCCAAAGAAAATGCCACTCCACTGTTCGTCTCTACCTGAAGGCATTCAGCTCAAGGTCCAGGGTCAGCACACCTAGCTCCCTGAATCAAATGCCCAGGGACACCCAATCCAGTCAGCCTCAGCTTAAAAGGATCCAATGAGTCACAAAGTCCAACTCAGCAAAAATTAGTACCCAGAGGCACCCCTATTCCACAGGCCAGATTTCTACCCAAAATAACTCATGATCTGTGGGCTGGGAAGTCCATCACTCTGTTTCATGATCTGGCCCTTAGTTCTGCTGCTGCTGCTGCTCTCGACCCTTTGATGCCACTGTTGTCTTCTGGATCTAGGAGGTGCACTGCACTGGGATCACAGTGTCCAAAGCACTTGCTCCACTTCTGGACCTGTCTGGTAGTGAAATTCCTTGCCCCCACTCTCTGCTTCGCAGTTGGCTTATTTTATATACAGCAGAATGGCAATCATAATTTTAGCAATTACTCACTTAACAATAATTTCTCCCAATGTCTTATCCAGACCCATGCAGGAAATGGTCATTTGGTGGGAATTAGAGAGTTTGGTTTTCCACATTAAATAGTTCACTGCCCCAACACAGGGGGAAAAAATCAAAGCAGAATAGCATTTCTTTCATCATCAAAAACATTTCAAGATCTATCCTGAAGTACAATACTCTGATAGGGTAATATTTACATAGCTACAAAGATTAGGTAACAAAACTTTTATTCAAATTTATGTACCATCACTAAAGCTAGTGATGAAGAAACTGAAGACTTCTACCAACTTCTTCAGTCTGAAATTGATCAAACATGTAATCAAGATGCATTGATAATTATTGATGATTAGAGTATGAAAGTTGGAAACAGACAGTAGTTGGAAAATACAGCTATAATAATAAAAATAATACTGGAGATCACATGATAGAATTTTACAAAACTGGCTTCTTCATTCAAATCCCTTTTTTCCCCACCACACAACAGTGGCTATATACCTAGATCTCACCAGGTGGAATGCACAGGAATCAAATTCACTGCATCTGTGCGAAGAGATGCTGGGGAAGGTCAAGAAAGAACATCAGCCAAAAACAAGGCAAGGGATAAACTGGGAACAGATTGTAAATTATTCATATGCAAGCTGAGATTGAAGCTGAAGAAAAGAAGTTCATGAGAGTCAAAGTGCAACCTTGAATATATCCCATCTGAATTTAGAGACCATCTCTTATCGATTTGATGTATTGAATATTAATGACAGAAGACCTGACAATTTGTGGCATGGCTTCACGAAGATCCTCATGCATGAGGACAACAAAAAGTCATTTAAAAGAGAGGGAAATTAAAGACAACATCAGATGTCAAAGGACACACTGAAACTTGTTTGTGAACATAGATTAGCCAAAAAAGATGGAAGAAATCATGAACTAAAGAGCTGAACGGAAGAGTTCAAAGGGCAACTTGAGAGAACAAAAGAAAGTGTTAGAATGAAATGTGCAAAGACCTGATATTAGAAAACCAACAAAGAAGAACACTCAACTCATCTCAAGATGAAAGAATTGAGGAAAAAATGTAAGCCTCAACTTGCAATATTGAAGAATTCTATTGGCAAAATAATGAACAATAAAGGAAGCATCAAGGGAGATTGGAGGACTACCTAGAATCATTATTTGAAAAGAATTGGTCAGCATCCAGCCATTTTAAGAGGCAGAATATGCTGGAGAACTGATAGTATTGAAAGAAAATTTTTAAGCTGCACTGAAAGCATTAGCCAAAAACAAAGCTGCAAGAATTGGTGAAATACCAACCGAAGTGTTTCAAAACCTGATGCAGCTCTGGAAGCACTCTCTAGTCTATGCCAAAAAAATTGGAAGACAAGTATCTGGCCAAACAATCCCAAATTATCCATATTTGTGTCATTCCAAAGAAAAGTGAGCCAACAGCATGTGGAAATTATCGAACAATCTCATTAACATCACGTGCATGGAAAATTGATTAAAAACTGATTACAATACATTGACAGAGAAGGGCCAGAGACTCAAGCTGGTGTCGGAAGATGACATGAAATGAGGACAATTAGTGCTGACATCAGAAGAATCTTGGCTAAAAACGAGAATACCAGAATGATGTTTTTGTGTTTTATTGATTTTGCAAAGGCATTCAGATGTGTTGATCATAACAAACTATGGTGATATTTTGAATAATGAGCCTCCCCAAACACTTCATTGTGCTTTTGTTGAACCTGTATATAGACCAGACAAAGTCATTTGAAATTTTAAATCAGGAAAGGTGTTTGTCAAGATTGCATGTTTCCCCCTACTTTTCAATCTGTATGCTGACAAAATAATCAGAAAACCTGAACTATATGAAAAAGAATGGGCCATCAGATTTGGAGGAAGGCTCATCCACCACCTGTGATATTCAGATGACACAACCTTAATTACTAAAAACCAACACGATTTTAAGCACTTTCTGATGAATATCAATAACTAAAGTCTTTGGTATAGATTACCAACCAGTGTAAAGAAGAAAAACAAATCTCACAATTGGACCAATAGACAACATCGTTGCAAACAGATGAAGATTGAAATTTTCAAGACTTAATTATACCTGGTTTCACAATCAATGTTCATGGGAGCAATAGTCAAGAAACCAAAGGTGCATTGCTTTCAGCACATTTGTTTTATTTTAAATGTTAGAGAGCACAGAAATCACTACAGACTAAATTGTGCTTTATTAGATCATTGAATCATCTCAATTGTTATTCCATCAGTTCCTGGATAGATGTTTTTGGCTAATGCCTTCAATGCAGATTGGACTTCTTCCCTCAGTGCCATTGACTCCTGATCAATAGGTAGCATATGATCAAGAACAATGACTTTAGTGGTCTCAAATAGACTAGCAATTGTGCTTCTTTCTACTGTACACAGAGTTTCTATGAGTCAGCACCAACATGATGGCACCTAATAATGACAACAAGGGACTTTAAACCTGTACTCTCTATCTGGTACTTGTCTATTATCAGCAAGTGCCATTCTTTGCCGGGTGATGAGAAATAGGGAGCGTGAAACAATGACACCAAGAATGATAGACACATCACTACTGTGCTGACTTATTTTTGATCTTACAGCCAGTGTACAGTACTGAAGATTGCAGCACAAAATTTGTTGAGATATCAAGAATCTGAAATTAAGATTAATATTTCCCAGTAGTGGGTGTGATCATTACTATTAAACCTCAGCAGCGGCGTTTCTTTTCTTAAATTGTGGACCAAAATCAGCATTTCTTCTTTCTTTCTTAAAAATCATCCCCAAACTACAAACATAATGATAAACAGAAGCATGGTTTCAATAATCACTGGAACAAGGAGGCATCTGATCTGAAACCCTAAATCATACAATAAGAAGATGAATGGCTAAAATTATAAGAGGGAAAAGAGCAATGCAAAAAGACAGAAATTAAAGGTTTCAAGCTGCACATCTCACAAAAATCTCTGGAAGCAGTTTCCTTTAAAATAAGTAAAACTGTTGTATATGACCAAAACATTTATTTATAACAACAGAGATGCAGTGAGCAGGCTAGCAGGTTCATCTCCTCTGATTCCAGGTAATATGAGTCTTGAGAAGCTAAAAATTCAAGATAAAAAAGAAATAGAACATTTATGTTATTGTGTTAGTCTGGGTACTTTAGAGAAACAAATCCACAGAAACTCATGTGTAAGAGAGTGTTTTATATAAAGGTCAAGTGCGTATCAAGAAAACATCCCAACCCAGTTTTGCTCAAGCCCACAAGTCCAACATTAACCGATATGTCAAACACCAATGCATAAAGTCCTCCTCCATCTCACAAAACAGACACAATGATGCCAACTGCAGGAGAAAGCAAATCAGTGAACGTGTAAACATCTCAGCGCTGGCAGGGGTCTCCACACGGCTGCTCCAGCACCCAGGGCCGCATCGGGGTAGGTCCATGTGGCTTCTTCTCAGGGATGTCTTGCAGGA